GTAAGAAATTTAGGAGTTTTTTGTTTTTTGTTTTTTTTAAACTAAACTTTTGTTAGTTTAGGCAGATATAGCAACTATGACACTCTTCAGTCAGGGATATCATTGGCTCCCAAGACATTTCCAGGACCATTTCTGAATGTTGGAGCTGCCCTTTAAGCTGGAATGGCTTGGGGCCAGGGTAGAGGTATCTAAAGAAATCTCTCTTTCTGAATATACATGTTTGTAAGCCATTCTTAATGAAGTTGGAGAGGGGTGGGCATAAAACAAAAGCCTCCAATTGCATTTCTGGTGCAAAGCAAAGGATTTTAAGCCCCAAGTTTTATAAGAGAATATTACAGTTGATGTTGGATGTTCTTTTCTCTGTTTTCTTTTGGATTTTATTATGCTTTTTTCCTCTAATGTGCATAGTGATTGTTGTGGGGGAAATTAAAAGTATAATAACTTAATCTCCCTAATGTTGTCTTTATTCTTAAACCAACAATTATCTTCACTAATGATAAACTGTTATTGAGCAATTTATTTCTTATGCCTGAAATAGTTTAATTTCTGGTTTCAGGCAAAAATGTATCATGTAATACATTCTTTATTATTCCAAAAAAGATAATTTGAACCAGAGTAACTGATACTGCTTTTCATAGCATCCCCTTCAGATTGCTGCAAATGTGGTATTGCTGACAATAGAGTATGAATGCATTATGAATGTTCTATGTTGATGACTGAGTGATACAAACAGAAACATCTACTTGACTTAAGTATTATGGATTGTTCTGTTGAGAAATTAATGGATTAGTTCACATGGGTCTTATTTGTGTTATTTGGGTAAGTAAATAAAGATTACTGGCTGATTTAATTAATTTTAATAAAAATTAAACTTACTTGGGCCCGATATGAATGATTTAGAACCTTTTAAAGTTTATTTCTGCTTCCACAAATCATTTTATGTGCAAAAAAGAGGATATATGTAATACATAATTTCAAACTGAAGATCTTTGCATTGCTGTATAATATATACTTAATAATGTGCTATATGAAAAGACTATTAAATATTACCCAGGCTGATTTTTCAGTTTATTTAAGTGGACAGTGATAATAATGAAGGAAAGGAAATCTACTATATTAGGCAAGCTTTCCTATATTTAGTTTCCATTTTGTTATCCATTTATTACTGTAAGCAAGATAAATAGAACATATATTGATTACAGAGAACACCAAGTATTCTATAGCAGCAGCTATAAGATTAGTAAACTACATCTCTGAATTTGCCCTTATATTATGTGTAAAGATTCCTGGATTTTTCTTAGTATTTTGCAATGTGGCATGCAGTAAGTAATAACTTATTTCATCACTGGCTGAAGTGTTCAGAAGTAAATGCAGACAAAACTTTTCCAATATCCTGATTGTAAAATGTGTAGACCTTCAAAATGAAGCTGGGAGATGCTCACTGTCTCTCTTGAAGTTGCAACAGTGCGATATTATATTCATTCTGTTCTTGTGAATGAGCTAAACTTAATCTGGTGCTCTGAGTTCTCACTTTTTGAGAACTGGTGATTTGGAGGTAGCTTCTCAATCAGGAAGACAAACTCAGTTTGCTAAGCTTTTCCAATCCTATGCCAATTCCTAAATGCAAAATTATTATTAGAGTCTTTCTCCTCTTCTATGTATTTGGAAAGGGATTAATGGCAGGGAAGGTGATAGAGCAATTAAGCATAAAAGTGAAATTTAGCAAGCTAAAACCATCAATTCCATATCAAATGTATTACATCAAAAAAGTTTTCTGTAATACTTTTTAGTTATAAATTTTACATCATAAATTTGCCTTTGTATGACCTGTAGCAGGGAAGAGGCAGAACATGTCTTACCAGCCTGCCAGCTTCATCCCTGGAACCTCCACCCTTACACTCTTACACCCTGAGTTCTAGGATTTCTCTACATGGCTATATCCCCAGGTGAAAGAGTTATACCAATACAGTTAGTGATTCTGCCACCAGCTCTTCTCCAGTTTTCTCCTTTTAAAGTTACTAAGCCCAAGTAGTTTTGGAGTGTATGTTGCTAAGGTCAGAACACCATACTGAAGTAAAAAAGAATAAAGATAACTAAGTAAGGATTTGAAAGAAGTGTTCGTTACATAAGGCTGACATCTATGTATCAGAGCTAGCGATCAATAATCTGTAAAGAGTCTGAGCAAACAAAGAGATAAAGTAGCAGCTCCTGCCCTCTGGAATGAGGCTTCCCCGAGCCCCCACACTTCTGATATTTTGAAGGACCCTGAAGATCTGGCTCTTTGCCCAAGCCTTTGGTGAGAGTGATTGAAGCCCCTTTTTCTTTCTATGTTCCGATCTGGTTTTGGCACTTCTGCCATCTTTATTCTTTTGTTTGTTTGTTTTTTGTTGTTTCCCTGTTGTTAAATGTTTTTAACCATTTGTAAATCACCCAGTGTATACATTTAATATTATTATTACAGATTGGGAGCAGATACATAACTTTGGACAGCCATGTTAGTCTACTGTAGTCAAATCAGAAGGAGTCTGGTAGCATCTTTTTGATTAACAAATTATATTAAAAAGCATAAGTTTTCATGGGCTTTAAATCCTG